TATATAAAATGTCTTTTCATATTTAGTACTCAAAGATTAGTTCATAGGGTCAAAGGAATGTTTTCTGCTAATGTGGCAAGAACATATTATACCTATTGTTAGCAATATTATGATAGCGTAACAATTCCTTGCTATTGCTTTACAGTTGTAAACACCATTGTATACATATCTCATTCAATTTTCTGAATACTTCTACTAAATAGGAAAAGTAGTTGTATGATCACTGTTTAGGTTGAAAGGAACTGACACAGCAAAAGAGTAAGCAACTTATATCATCATATAGTAGAAATGAAGAGACAGATCTCTGACTTCTAGTCTAACATTTCAAGTCTTATTTGCAGTCCAAATCATAGCACCTCACATCATTTATTTGATAGCGAATACCTTACATAGGACTTATTAATCATGTATCACTCCCAAGGACCTCTGATAAGTATAGTGAGGGTCCTCTGAGATACCTTACTATGGGAATTCACAATTGGATGGGACACCAAGTCTAGTCAGAAAAATCCAGACTACTTTTGTAGCCAATTGTGCCATTACAACTTACTTTAATAGCCATTATTTTTTCCATTAACTTAAAATGCTTTTCAAAATAAACTAAATTTTATGTAGTTAACTGTATTAATATTTTATAGTTTCAATTTAAAAATTATTTTATTTACTAATTTTATGGATCTATATTTTATCTTGTTATCTACCTAGAATTATTTGTGATAAAAAGCATGAGAAAAAATTAATTTTTTGCAACATTATCCAGTTATTTCAGCACTATTTATCTATTCTTCTCCCACTGGTTTCCAATGTTACCATTTTATACAATTGGATTTGCTTCTATTCTTACTCTTTTGTCTATTTCTGTGCCATTTTTACACCTTTAAAATAAATACGGATTCATTATAGATTTTGATATCTGATTATGTTACTCATAAATAGCTGGTAAAGCCCTTCTCATTATACTTCTTTTTCTAAATGCTCTTGGATATTTTCATATTTATTTTTAGATAAAATTTAGAATGCTTTGACAACCTAAGTGCATACAAGTATATACACAAGGGTAATATGTGTTATTGTATGTAGAGACTTTAATGTCTTATTAAACTTTCTGAGATTATTAGAAAGTTCTTATAAAAATAGAAACTTTTAGAGGTAAACTCCCTTGCTTTAGATCAATAATCTGTCTGAAGAAGAGTGAAGAGCACATAACTTTTTAGTTTTGGTATGTTTGGGGACTTTTTAAGAAGATGCTACCTTCTAATTTTATATATCTCCTAAAGTTTTACTATTGTCATCACAAAATTAATACATATTTGTGGAGCTAATGACTGGGTAACTCTCTGTAGAAGTATTAATGAATGGATGAATTTTTAAAGAGGGACTTAAAATCAGTCCTTCTTTAAGCCTATGGCAGTTGGACTCCTAGGAGAAGTGTACATTAAATTCAGCATAACAACATGATTTGGTTTCAAAGACTTTGTGCTTATGTGTCACAGAATAATAGAATATTATTAACATTCAGTTTGCATTATGACAACAATCCTTCTGCTTTCTCTTCCTGTACAGAGCACCAATTAAAAGTTGTTCTTGTAGTTTTCTTTGAGCTCAGCTGCTCTTTCTGATGACAACCAGCTTAAGTAGAAAAGAAAAAATGAGTGAGAAGTTTCATGTCACTCCAATAAAACCCAGGGTGCCACATGGCCCAGTATTAGCAATGTGCTGCACTAAAGGAATCACTGTCTAACAACCAGTATTATTCAAATTAATTCGAACTTTCACTTATTTTTCAAAGAAATTTAAAATGAATTGAAACAATAATGCAAAACACGACTTCTTAAAATCCTTTTCCTCTGTTCTTCTATTCTCTAAGCCCAGAGGCTTCTCCAGGGTCTCACTCATCATAATCTTCTTTCTCCATCAGTGATTTTTTTTTTCATTGATAATATTGCATGCATGCTATCTATCTTCTCTTTTCTTACTCCTTCATTTTCATTTAAAGTTCCAGTTCTTTTTATACTTCCAAGTATGCATCATATGATTTTACAAACTAACCAGATTGAAGCCTTTTTTAAAGAGGAAAGATTGGGGATGGGAGGAAGGCATTTGATGGGCAAGTACAGGACTTTCTTTGGCAGATGAGTTGGGTAGGGCAGAGGTCATTCAAGACTTAGAATATTTACATATTAAATGATTCTGTCCCCGATACATTTGTACAGATTAATAGAATACTGTCTAAAGCATATCACGTTGTGGAATTAGGACTGACACCTGTCAGAGGAGGAAGGCATTAGTAATTATTTCCATCTTTTATTTACAGAAATAATTGCAGTTTTCTAAAGCATAGCTTGGGAAGAAGTAAGACAAAAAAAACATAGGTAGAGATAGTAATAGGTATTATTTTAAGTGATTACACTCTTCTATCCAGTGGGCTAAGCACTTTACATCCTAAAACAATGAAACTCTGTGTCAGTATTTGTTCTTAACCCAGTTCTTCAAGGAGGAAACAAGTAGTCACAACCTGAATCAATTTGTCGCAAAACGCGTAACTAGTGAGTGGTGAATTTATCTTCCATTGTATGATCTCTGACACCATATTTATTATGTAATATACAACAAGATAGGCAGAATATAGTAAATTTGAGAACAGGAAGAGGAAAAGCAAGTCTTGCAAAATATTCACAGAAAGTTCAGTGAAGAATAAATGTGTACTCTTTCTATTACAGAGCAAGTGTTTGATACTTTGCAGTGAAATGATGCAATGCATGAAATGGCAGGTTTCCTTAATGATTACTACTGTCAGTCTATCATATTTTATATTTTTATTTTATTTTATGTTCTAGCTGATTTTGACTTTAGTTTTATCTTGCTATACTTTATGAACCATTGAAAGCTACCTTAAATTATCTTTGTGATGATGAAGAGGTCATAAAAATTATACACAGTCTTGGCAAATCATGTGAGTCAATTTACGGAGCATAATTTAGGAATGTTTACTGTTGTATACTTTCTAATTTTTATATTTCCTTGAAACCCTTGTTGGAGATGTATTGTGAATCAAATGACTCGGGAGAAAGCTCCTTAAGACACTTGCTCAGAATTTCTGAGAAAAATCCACAGGAGGTTATTCCCTGTTGGTATAGAAGCTCATGTTATTCATAATCACATATTTGGATATAATCAGGTCAATTTGTAAGTGACTTTGAATGTGATCCATTGTGTCCTTACTTTCCTTCAAAGGTTCAGCAAAGCCTGTTTCCTCTGGAGACAATCTAGTCAATATCTGTGACTTGCACAAGCTGGAAATGTGACACTTAGGGAGCCCGGTGCCATGGAAGGCTGAACTCCTGTCTCATTTACACACTGCCCAAAGATTAGCCATCGCAGGGAGGATGACGTGGGCCTGGAGAGCCGTCCCCCCCATTGTAAGCTGGACTCGCTCTTCCGTCAGCTCAATACAAATTATTTCTGAGCAATTCCCCCTGCAATTACCTGATTAGCAATCCCAATTGCTTCTCCCTGTTTCAGAGACCTTGATTAAATGATATCCCCTCCTGATTACTTTATCAAGTCCAGCTACTATGAATTATTGACAGCTCTGTGTTAACTGACTGCCTTGTTCCTTTGGCGACCTGCCAGGCAAATGGGAAAGCAGCTGTTTCTTTAGATGGGGACAAGAGAAATGCCAAACAATGCAGTCCTTAAGGCTTCTGCAAGCTGGCACACCATTAGTTGACCTTGAAATTGTTTTGGTGGTGGTTAGTGTGTTTGACATCCCTTTGGGTTACCGAAGGTTGACAGCTAGATGGTGGAGGTAGTTGATCCTCTGATCCAAAATCCTGTCACTTTACAGCTTGTAGGCAGGTGGGTTGTGGGTTGTTGCAGAGGTTTGCTGATGGAGGAAATGAAGTGCTTTAGCCCACTCACAGAGTTCTGACTGCATGGACTGTTCAGAGCCACGAGGCTTAAACTTGAGTTTTGTCTTATTTTCTTGTTGATCTGAAATTGTGTGTAAAGCCTGCTGAATGTGCTGATTTTCATTAAATGGCTCTGCACAGCAGGGATAGTTTCTTTTTGTAGATCTTATAAAGTCAAGGATGCTTTGATACATGCCCAAAGAGGACTTAAACATATTCATAATCACGCTCCCACCATGATCTTTAAATATACATTATTTTATTTTTAGTTGTTTTCCTTCCTTTTAGTTGTAAAGTCCCCTGTATGTCCCTCTCTGTCCCCTAGTCCAATATGATCCTCCCACCTAAAGATGCATAGGCAAAGTGTTGGGAAAGGAGTCTTAAGATACGAATGAATATTATTTAAAAACATCATTAATGTTTGCTTTTTCCTCATGCTTATTCCAACTGTACTTTTCCTTTTGTTATAAACTCTATTTTAGAACAGTTTTGGATTTACAGAATTCTTTTGAAGGTAGAACGAAGAGTTGCTATATACTCCCTACCCCATTTCTCCTACTATAATAGCCTACGTTCCTATGAGATATATGTCACAATTAATTAACCAAAATTGATAAATTATTACTAATTGAAGTGCATAGTTTGTCCAGATTTCCTTGTTTTTTACCTACTGCCCTCTTTCTGTCCCAAGCTCTCAATTAAAAAACTATGTAACATTTAGTCATCATGTCTCCTTAGGTTCCTCTTGGCTGTGAGAATTTCTTACACTTATTTTCTTTTTGATGATCTTGACAGTTGGAGGCATACATACCATTTAGATGTCTAGTACAATGTCCCTACAAACAAAGAAAAACTGTACAGTGGGGAAACTTGATGCACACTACCTCACGCCAGATGACCGAGGTCAGCATCAACGGTTATAAATCATGCCGGTAGTATGTACTCTTGATATGATGTAATGAGAATGCTACTTCAAATATATGATTTTTCTTCCTGAAAACCTATTACCACAATGTAATTATGAAAAAAAGGGGAAAAAAAAAAGCCCAGACAAGTCCCAGTTACAAGACCTTCTATAAAATACATGCCATTGCTTCTTGGCCTTTTGGCTAAGATTAAGCATAGTATCTGTTCTTATCAGTTTAATGTTTGTTACGTCATCTATCCAAAGAAAATACACTAAATGGATTTTTGGAGCAGGGAGGTGGAATAGAAGCTTGCTCTGTTCATTCCATGCATTGGCCCAGTATTGCTGTACTTCTGGGAACAGTGCAAAAAGATAAAATAAAACACCTGACCAGTGCACCTCAAAACTGTGAAGTTTGCCAAAAACTCACTCACTCACTAAGAATAAACAAATCCGTGCATAAAAATTTCAAATAATTCGTGTAATTATTCCATCCTCACTATGGTCTTATACATGTGTATTGGTGGCTTAGAGTCCAGTAATACTTTATTTATTTTGTTACTCAAAAGGTTTCAGTTTGGGCTCTTTCAGATGACTCTTCTGTCTCTTTGACATATCCCCATCATTTTGGGTGGTTTTTTCTTTTTGGGAGGGGAAATACTTTAACTTCAAAGACTTTTTTTTTCTGGGGATTGGTTGCACAACAATGTGAATATATTTCACGCTACAAAATGGTTCATTTAATAGATGGTTAAGATAGCATATTTTATGTTATATGTATTTTACTGCAATCCTTTCCTTCTCTTCAGCCCCTGGAAGCCACCATTCAAGTTCCTGTTTGTGACTGATTTCTTTCGCTTAGCATAATATCCTCAAGGTTCATCTATGGTGTAACATGGGTCAGAATTTTTTTCCCTGTTAGGGCATAATATTCCATTGTATGTATGTAACACATTTTGTTTATTATCTGCTGAGGCACAATTGGGTTACTTCTATCTTTTGGCTATTGTGAATAATGTTGCTATAAACATAAGTGTACAAATTTTTCTTCAAGACATGGTTTCAGTTATTATGACTATATGCCCACAGGTGGAATTGCTGTATAATGTGGTGATTCTATTTTTAAATTTTTGAGGACTGCCATGCTGTTTTTCATAGTGACTACACCATTTTACATTCTCATCAGTAGTACACACAGGTCTCAGTCTCTCCATATCCTTGCCAAACTTATTTTCTTGGTCTTTTTTTGGTTGTTTCATTTTTTGGGGGTAGTAGTCATATTAATGAGAGTGAGGTAATATCTCTTTGTGGTTTTGATTTGCATTTTGATAATGATAAATGGTGAATGTCTTTACATATGCTTGTTAAACATTTGTACATCTTTTTTGGGAAAATATCTATTTAAGTCCTTTTCCCATTTTAAAATCAAGTTATTCATTTTTTGTTGTTCAATATCTTTATAACTATAAGGACCTGTAGAAGTTCTTTATAAACTCTGGATATTAATCACTTATCACATATATAACTTAGAAATATTTTCTCTCATTCCATAGGTTACCTTTTCACTATGTTGGTTGTATCCTTTTTATGCACAGTAGTTTTCAATTTTGATGTAGTTCAGTTACCTATTTTTATTTTTGTTGCCTATGTTTTTGGTATCACATCCAAGAAATTGTTCAGTACAATATTGTGAAGCTTTTATTATACCTTTTCTTCTAAGAGTTCTCTAGTTTTAGCATTTACATTTAGCTCTTTGAGTTGATTCTTGTATATAGTTTATGGTAATGGTCCAACTCCATTCTTTTGCATGTGAACATTCAGTTTGACAACATCACACCATTTGTTAAAAAACTTTCATTTCCCCATTGAATGGCTTTGGCATCCTTTTCAAAAAATGTTTAACTTGACTATAAGTATATGTGAGGGTTTATTTCTGGGCTCTCTTTTCTATTCTTTTTGACTATGTGTATGTCTTTATGCCAGTAACACACTGTTTTGATTAACTGCAGCTTTATAATGAGTTTTGAAATTAGGAAGCGTGAGACCTTCAGCTCTGCTCTTTTTCAAGATTGTTTTGTCTATTTGTGTTTCCTTGATGTATCATATGTGTGGTAGGATGGATTTTTCTATTTCTGCAAAAACAAAAAACAAAACAAAACAAAAAACAAACCACCACTGGTATTTTGATAAGTATTGCAATAAATTTATAAATCACTTTGGATAGAATTGATATCTTAACAATATTAAGTATTCTGATTCATGAACATGGGATGTCTTTTCATTTATTTGTGTCCCTTTAATTTCTTTCAGCAAGGTTTTGTAGTTTTCAGTGTAGATAGTTTTTCCCCTTGGTTAAGCTTATTCCTGTGTATTTTACTCTTTTTGATCTTATTATAAATTGAATTGTTTTCTTAATTTCTTTTTGGGTTGTTGTTAGTGTAGGAACATGCTGATTTTTGTGTCCAATGACTTTTAATTATAATTTAACTCTCAGCTTCAGAAAACCAGTATTGAATTTTAGGTCCATTTTGGAAACTAAAGCAAAATCTTTGGGATCTAAAGAAAAGTCTACAGTGGCAGCATTTTGACTTCAGGTGCTTTCACTTAGGTATGTGACTCACCGTCTAATTTAAGTTGATTCTTGACTTAAGGGTTTTCTCCTCTTACCGTCTTGCTCTCACTCCCAGGAGAGTGAACATGGTTGTCTTTCTTACAATGGAAGAGAGAGAAAATTAGTTTCATCTTATGGGGTGGATGCCCTTATATAGTGGTAGTGCCATTGCTACTGGTAGGAAATCTTGTTTCTCATGAGCCAATTAGATTTTCCCATAGATGTTAGGAACATGGCCTTGGGGTTAGAAAAATCCAGTTTACCCCGCTCCAAAATTTAGTGGCTACAGAAACATTCTGATTTCCTTGCTATCATTAAATCTCGATTTTTGTGTTTTTTAAAATGTGAAAATACTAATACCTACATCCTTAAGTTCTTCTGTGCATGAATTTGAGAACGCATGTGAAGTGCTTAGCCTAAGGACAAGCATGCAGAGTATAACACATGGTATAAATTGCTATCCTGTTTGTCTCCTGATGAATTGTCAGATACCACAATAAATTTAGTGCCTAGCACTAGAGTTTTTCAACTTCACTCTGACTGAATTCAATAGAAAGAAATTCTCATTTCAACTGGCAACTATAGCAGCATAATGATGTTCTTGGGGAGGGGGATGTGGAGGAAAGGACTTACCCAGAAGGTATGACCAGATAGCCATAGTTCCTAGTCTTAACGTTCTATTTGAAAGTTGGTTGAGAAAGCTTAGTGTGTGGCTAGGGCACTCAGCAAAGATAGCAGATGTATATCAGAGGACCATGTGCTTGTGGTGGTGCAGAATTTATAATCAACAATGATTAGAAATTCAGATACCAAATTTCACACGCTGGCTCCATTCCAACTCTCCTGCCTGTGTGCCTGAATCCAAATAGTATCATTAAAGAGAAAAGAACAGCAAAACTGTGAAATGTGCAGTTTAATGAACTTCCCAAATATAGGGCCTCGGAAAAAAAATCAACTCTAAATGAAATAGATAAACGTGTGCAAAATGAAATTCTATCTTCCAGCACTCTGACAGCCACTTGTCCAGAAGTCCTCCTACACCAAATATGCTTGGAATTTTCTTAGCAAATGTGTATCATTTCAGATGAAAATAGTTGAAATGGAAACAAGTGGGTAAAACAGAATTAGAGAAGTGAACAGATGGTATGTAAGTGTAATGATGATCCAATTGCACCATGTTATAAATGAGCTATCACAGAATCTCAGGGGAGCTTCTGGCCAAACACTTGAACATACTGGGGAGAAGTCCTGCTTGTACCTCTCCTCCTTTTTTTTTCACAATTGAACACAATTGCAAGCAAGTGAAGCGACTCCCCAGAACGTGTGACACAGCGTACCTACTCCCACAACACACACCCTTCCTACTGTCTCCACTGGAAGTTAAAAAGGCCAGGTTGCACGTGGTCAGACACTGTTTCTGTGGAACTTACATCATGGAGGCCTGATAATGGAAAGAGCCTTCAGAGCAGCAAGAGACCCCAGCACTTCACCTTTCCTGGTCGCACAGGAAAACCATGCATTTTATCTCCTTCTGTTGCAGTATGGCTTTCTGGCTTCTTTTCTAATTTTCTCAAATTGTTGGTGGAAATCGCTTCCAACCACTGTATTATCTCTCTCAGATGTTCTCACTGCAACTGAAATAGATGTGTCACGTGCAATCATTTAACAGTTTTTAAAAGCACTTGGGTTAGAACTGCACGGCCTAATTTTGCATTCAGTGCAGCCCCTTTCAACAAGGTTGAACCACTAGCGGAGATATTTGCAAGGGCCCAAGGATTATTATATTAGTCTGAACATCAAGTTAGTTTCAATTCTGTTCAGCAAACAGTACCGGAACATCTACAGTCAGGTTAGAGCTGAATTTCACAGAGGCCCCCACATTCGTGGGGGGCCCTGAAATGTCTGTGCGTAGAGAAATCTGTCGAACCTGAACAAGTCACACTAACAAAGTGTTAAAAGGAGACATTAGTGGCTATTCACAACTAAATCCTTTCTTATAAGAATTGGCACAATTCAAATGCTTAGAATATTAAATGGTGAATTTTGAGGATTACTGTGAGAGAAGGTTCCTGAAGCCCTGAGCCCTGCGGATTTGGCGGTTCAGACAGTTTGTTGGTAAATGTGAAGGGAGCTATCTAGTGTGTTACAGGATATTCCTCAGCATTCTTGGTGCCTACACACTAGCTGTCAATAGCAATTCCCTAACCTCAGTTTTTACAACCACAAATTTCTCCAGACTTTTCTGAGGGGCAGAATCACTCCTGGTTGATTTGCTGCTGGAAGAGATATATCTTTGTCCCCAGAAGTTTTCTATTCAGTGAGAAAAGAAATAATACACATATTAAGTGCTTAAGTCAATAACAGTGCTAAGAGGAAAATGTTTTAGAGAAAAGTGAGAAAGACAAAACATACCATGAAACTTGAGAAGAGATCCTTAAGTCCATTAATATGGTTACTTACTTGGAGGACTTCTGATAGCACCAGCAACAGAACTATCCCTCATGGGTGCTGCAAACCCACTAACAATGACCTCTTCAATGGCAATGAGCGTTTAGAAAAATAACGGTACAAATGCTTCTCCTCATCAAATTTTCTGTTCGTTGTATGATGTATCTTGTCTTACATTATTCTCAATTCTCTGCCTGTACTATTTTTTCCCCCAGAAATTCTAAGTTGAAAATGCAAGTAAAGGAAATTGAAAGTAGTACATCTGATGCTACCTCTTCCTTGAATGGAAATTATAGTCAAATGTCTGATGTTAA